CAGCCATATTTTTACATTAGTCGCATCGCAGCGTCGTAAGCGTGTGTAAGGAATCTATTGTTACTAATCCCTATTCCTCCTTGTTTAAACCTAATGCCACGACGAAGCAACTGCGCTAGTGTAGTACCCGCCATTAGTTAACTGCGATGTGATTGGTCGTTGGGCCACAGGGATATATTCTAACCCCTGATTGGACCGTTGAGTTATTAGGAATAAGATCCGTTTGAAAGAGAGAGTCGTTGTACAGACGCCGAACAAGTCGAACGCCTAACTTACGAGAATAAAGGAGATCAAGAACAGAAACGTGTGTGTGGTCACCTATCCTGACATATTTTTCTCCTGACAATCTCCTCATATATCAACTCGGTAAATCCGACGATAATCCCGAAGGGAAAGTAATTCGTTACATGTGTTGCAAGCGTTGCTGTCCAATCAGAGTTGAGCTAGCTCGACTCTAATTGGACTGCAATCCTTGCGACGCGACGATGCAACTAAAGCTGGTTCTACATTAGTCGCATCGTAGGTTGCAAGTGTGTCGCAACCGTTGTGGTCCAATCAGAGTCGAGCTAAATTGATGTTGATTGGACCGCAACGCTTGCGACTAATGTAGAATCAGCTTAAGAGAGGCCATATCGGCCTTTTTCCTGTTACCGTCGAAATCGTCCGTACACTACCGCCATTACCTCTATTTTCAGTTTGGGAACTACATGACTACATACATTTTCTGACACTATCGATAAAATCGTATCGTTGAAAATAGATGTGATTCGTGTCTGTACTCAGGCTAGAATCGTGCCGACTATCCATAGGAGCATATATGTAATACTACTAACAACACAGCCTCTTTTTGGGAGAAAGTAAATATTATCCAGCGAGAAATGAGTAATCGAATTGATGTCGAATCGATATCGATATAATGATTTCAACATAAATTTGACGTCAATTCGACGTTTAATTGACGATCATTTCTTGCTGGGTAATTAACAATTTATTTATGAAGAATAAAATAGACTGTTTTTTAAAATTATATATACTAAAAAGATGTGTATTAATTATAGAAAATATATCATCTGAAAAATAAGCGAAAATTTTAAATTGTATAGTGGTTTGGATGCTCAAAAAATATTCGTACAGTCGAGAAATTTAGCTTCTAAAATCAGGAATACATACGAAGCTCATTTGTTTATGTTAGAGTAGAATGTATTCATTGTATAAAATTGCTAATTAATGTTTATTTTCTACAAATAATATATATATATATATACAGTGAGTGCAAAAAGTATTCGTATAAGGAAATTTGTTATAAAAAAGTTTTATTTGTAGAAAATAAACATTAATTAGCAATTTTATACAATTATATATATATATATATATATATATCGGTAACATAAATATATACATATATATATATTATATATTTACGAGCATGAATAAAGATGTGTATAAAAAATTCTTTTAAAAATATATATTTTGCATTCAAATTTATTAAAAATTTTGGGTTAGTTACTAATTGGGCTACTTGAGCGCCATCATTCGGCTATTCCTGATCTGACGAAAAATATCTGACAACACTGGTTCTGCAGCCCCATGTGTCGCCACCCTTAATCTTTTTTATGACGGCACAACAAACATAGTTTTATTCAATCAAATATTAATTTATTTCATTAGTTAGTTTTAAGTATTTATACGCATGCAATATAGAAGCCTATCGATATTGAGGATTACGTTATTGATGGATATATGTATGTACATACAACAACGTCTTAATTTGTTATACGATGTAATTATTGCAAAACATTCCTGCAATGATGACTGATGATATCGATGCTCTGCTGTTTACATTGAAAAAAGAACAGAATGTCTGTAATGACAGCGATATTAATTCGGATAACATCGATGACTTCTCATCTATGCCGTTACCACCACTTTCTACAGATAATTCCGTCATCGTCAATGAATCCAACAATAAGTTCTTACATCTCACTACAATGGCACGTTTCTTTGCATATAATTATGTGTGTACACATATATATACATATATAAAAATTACATTATTTTATATTTCTTAGCATTAGAGTTCAGCATGCTCCAAATTCTAGCAAATTTTGATATAGAGATTTAATTGATTTAATTTAGTATTATTTTAGACAGAATGCATATAAATATAGAAATAACTTTTACAATCAAGTTTTAATTTAATTTGAAAAGTTTTAAACTAAAATTTAAAAGATCAGGTGATGATATTAATATTTATTGCAAAATAAGAAATAAGCTAATCAGAATCAATTTGTTGTGATTAACTATTTGAAAATTAATCAAAAGATTTTATTGAAAAATTTTATAAAATATTTTTTCAATATATTGTATAATGACTATTATGGACAACTGTTTCACAACATATATTTGTATAGGTCCGTACTGTATATTTGTCTTACCTTCATAAATGCTTACTTAGTAATTATACAACTTGTTACAAACAAAATGATATATCAAACATAAAAGTGAAAAAATATGCGGACCAAATGGAATTACATGCTGTTCAATTGGCACTGGAAACTAATATATACAGACAAAATATGCTGAAAATGGTAATAAGTATTATTGTTTAAAATGGTTAAAATGGTTAAGATTTCCCTTGTCGATATTTTATATCAGTGTAATTTGTGTCTTTGTAGATTGACGATGTAAAATCACATACAGTTAAAAATAAAGCATATAAAAAATTAGTAATATTTTTAGAAACATCAAAAAATAAAGTTGACATCGCTGTACAAACAGATGACACGTGGATGGATTCAGAAAAAACAAATATACAAGATGTATCTATTACATTCAACTGTGAGAAATCACTGCAAACAGTATTACCCACTATAAATTCTAATAATTTCTTTAAAAGTGAGAATGTTATGGAAAATTTTAATGATGAAACCCCCTCGATAGATGTAAATGAAACAGATACGCAGATGCTGCAAAATATTGCAAAAGACTCTAACGACGCTAGTCATGGATTTAATCAGATGGATTCTCATATAATGGATAACATACCTCTCGAAAATGAAGATGAAAATTCACAAGATTCTCTATTACAACATATGCAGGATATGTTTTGCGAAAGTGATGATAGTAGTGATCTTACGAGATTAATTGAGGAACATTCTGGTGTTACTAAAGCAAATATTGACAAAGAAATTAACAAGATATGTTCAGAAGCGGATATTGTAGACACAAATCTTTTTAATGTTCCGATAAGTAATAATGTATCAAGGCCTAATGTAACAAAAGTAAATACAAGCGAAGGAAGAATCAGTTTCAGTCGCTATAAGGAAATGCAAAGTAAAAAAATCATCAAATCAAAAGGAATTAATACAAATGAAACTGTTGAAAGTAAACAAAAACAAAAGATAAATGCTATTTGGTTCGTGGAACGTGTACATCAAGTTTCAAAATTAAAAGCTAAAATGACTGAATTATCACTGACAAATTATCGAAGACATGGAAGAGTAAAAGAAAAATTTCTTCATTTGTTTGGGGAATTTGAGGAAGAAGAAATGATGCCAGATTCACCAATATGTATAGAAGAACATTTACCAGCTTGTAAAGAAAGAATAGCACCTTGGATTGTGAAATACTTAATGCCATTCTACAAAAAAAGAAGAATTAAAGATCGTCAGCTTTTCAAAGCTGTTGCAAAGTACATCACAGATATGCTCATCATAAAGAATACTTTTCCAGGTGAGCCACTGATAGATCTGATATAGTTATGTTTTTCAGTACATGTTCAAAAAATTACGCTATTTTGAATAATAAAATAAGTTAATATTTATTTCAATATAACACTAATGGAGAATTGCATGTGCAATACTCAATTAAAAAAAGAGTTAGTCGTTGGAAAAGTCTAATTTCAATGTTTTCAATTTCAAATATTTCTAATTTATATTGTTTCTTTCTAATAATATAATTAGAGAATATATTTGAGATAAGTATAGCTACTACTCTGTATACCTCGTAATGTTAAAAAAATTTGTGATTCACAATATAGCTACGGCTGGGTCTATTTAAATATTTGAAATACTATTTTTTTGAAAAACAATATTTATAAGATAATTGTATTTTGTATTTTAGCGTAGCACATGAAAATATTTTGTATTTTGTATTTCAAATACTAAGATTGACAACCAATCTAATCTTATTATTTGAATTATAAAATACATAAAACATTCAATCTTTCGATTTTAAATACAAGGTACATAAAACTCTCATGTACTCGGTTGAAGTACAAAATACTTGTATTGCAAAAACTGTATTTTAAATACATACTCCTCCCCCCAACCCTGAATATAGCAATAAAAAAAGTACATTAACAAATTATTTCATAATCATAATATTTATATATTCTTCCGTTTATATATTTCAGAACAAGAATGTGTAAGTAAGTATATAGAAGGCTACTTCAAGAACAAGAGGTCTATTAAGACTAAGCAGGATATATATCTATAAGAAATTGGTGATATTCATTAATGTAATACAAATAAATGAAATATAGAAATTGTAATATATATAGATAATCTTGCTATAGATAATCTCTTGCATAACATTTTTGATTTTGTTTGTGTATCATCCAATAGAATCACATATTTATTACAATGTAAATACTTATGAATAAAACACATAACTTTGCGAAAACTTTGAAATAGAGAAATTTAATTTTAGGGAAAGTGGAGATGGATGGATTTTTTAAAATTACCTCCTTTTTGGTTGCACTATCTTCTATTAAATTAAAAACTAATTGTTTACGTATCAAATTTTTAATTTGTTAAATAATACACTACCTACATAATTAACAAAATAAGGAGTACATTTTATATAACTCTTATGAATAACATTTTTTTATTTTGCTTATTTCTTTTGTTATAAACAGTATTATATGATAACAGCAGACAGAATCAACCTAGTAACATGTAAGAATGATTTTGCCAATTTATCATTTATTTATTTCCTTATAAAGATACTTTATTATGTTTTTCGTGTAATGTAATAATAGTTAGAGTAAACTAGAAGTGTGAATATTTCCAAATAAGCATCCTGTTTTGATATCATAATATAGATAGCTTACTTGGTTCTTGCAAGAATAAGAATATTCGTGACTTCCAAATAAGATGTCAATGTAATGAAAACGTGATCTCAAATATGACGGCTTGGTGGAAAAGGTATTCGTGATATATATATTTTTTTATAGTGACTTATGTATTACGTATCTTTCCAGGTACATAATTCTTGTCTATCACCGGTTCTTGCAGAAACATGTGCAAACATCGTTCGTTCTGTGCCAAAGGATGTCCAGCTATTCTGAAATACAAATGATTACGCAATATGAACAGCTATACATATAAATTCATATGTTTAAGTAAAATATTACAAACGATCACTGACATTTGTTGAAGTATATTACGTGTGCAATAGTGCTACGATCAGAATATATAAATGATTTCAATAGAATACACATGATTAAGAAATAATGCGCTTCAGTAATTTTCGTTTCGTATTCATACATGATTTCTGCAAAAGAAACAAGTTACCTATTTTTATGGTTAAATTAAGTTAAAACGGTAAATTCTTATCTTTGAAAGTCATTACTGAGTTGAAAAAAATAATCAGATATCTTATTTTTCTATCTACTAATATTTCTCTTAAAGAATAGAAATAAACGTGTTTAAATAAACAACCCGCTATAGCTAAATCCTTAAAGAACTTGAAGAATAAAATTGTTTAATAATTATAAAGAATACCAGATTAAATAATTACTTTTATGTACAGAAATTAGACTGCATATCATTTCTGTGTATGAAACATAACTGTACAATCTTTTGTTGCACATAAAACAATATGCTCACTTGTTAACGAAAACTTCCAAGCCTTTTCTTCGATCTTCAATAAAATCTTCCTCAAATATTCCATCGTCTCCACGAAAAGGCATTTGACGTTTCCATGCTTTTCCTGGTAAAGGTGGTACCACAATCTGTAATTTAAGAAAATATATGAAAAATGATTTTCTATTTTATTATATTGCAAGATACATAGGTGAGATACAAAATTATCAAAAAGGAGCAATCGTGGTTCAGTGGCTGTCTGAAAAAGGCAAAGATTCAAGTCCTGACACAGTACCTACAAGTATCATGACTTTTCTCATTTCTCGCTAATGTACGCTTCCTATCTTCATAGTAAAATAATAAGTTTAATAAATAAATATAGAGGTATCAAAATAAATGTATATTTTCTAAGTTGATAAATTGATATTTTTTTTAATGTTCCTATAATTCTACTCATAATTAAAGAAATATGTAAAAAGATTCATTCTATAATAATAACTTATGCCACTCGTACTGTTTTAAACATAATTACCTCTTTCAGTAACTAACCTTACTATCTCTTTCTAATTCATTTCTCAACCATTCGAAATCACTGTATCGTCTTCTTACTGTTGAGTCTTTTACTTTAAAGACTGGTAAATTTGTCTGAAAAAGTCAATAACTTTGATTGAGTTTCTTGGTAAATATGTTCAGAAGTCCAGAAGTCTCTTAACATTTTGAAATATGTATGATATGTGTGTATGTGTGTGTGTATATATACATGATGCAAATACACGTATGCACATGTATTTTCATATAAATTTTATTCACTTTACAGTTATGTTTAATTTTGCTATCTTCAATTTTCCAATGTTAAAGTTTCATGTCTTGTTGTTCCAGATATCAAGCTTGTTTGAATTTATGATAGTTAATGTCAGTATATAAAAATAAAAAAATATATCAATACCAATTAGATTTTTGAAAAATTTATAGATTTGTTTTGAAATTTATAGAGCAATGAATGTACATCGGTCTTTATCAATATGATATCGGGAACAACCCACGATATACGTCTAATCAATCGGTAGACATGACTGAATTATGATTATTCGATGCGTCTGTGTCATTGTTGCAAACGTAAAAAAATATTGGAAAAACTAAATTTTGACATGAGAGATGTGTGGAACGTTTAACAAATTTGCACAAATGTATATAAAGCGAAATAAATATTACTCACCCTCATACGAACTTCATAATCGGTATATCGTTTCTTGCCGACACCGTGTGTAATCGGATTAATCACGTCGATCTCAAGGAAGTTTGCAGGCGCCGCATAAGCGTCGTCCAATGTTTGTTTTTTCACATTTAAGCGTCGCGTTGCGTCTACGGTTGTATCCGCCATTTCAATTACAAGTTTCAATTAAATACGCGTTCGCTTTGGCAAATTTTGTTTCTACTAGACGCTCGAAAACACTACCGATATGCAACGAATGTTACGAGCACCAACAGAAATGACAGCGCTTAGTAACTTGCAGTAACTTGACACGATTCGTTTCTCTCTCTCTCTCTCTCTCTCACTCATCCTCCACTACGTCACATTACACGCGCACCCTCGTGCGAATAATGCCTATATATACATTTATATATATATATAATGTGTGTACGTTGTACCTTTGACTATAGAAAAATAGACAGCTAGCAGCAACTTTAGAGTGGTAATCAAAACGTATTGCGCCATCACCGACCAATTGGGAAATGTGAATTAAAACTGATGTATCGATAAAGCTCATGGCAACGTAAGGTCATAAAGCCGGAATCAGACTATTGAAAATTCAGATTGAAGATTGAAAAATTGAAATTTGACTAATTAAAACAATAGAAGCGCTAAAATCCCTTTGTCCTCATTGGTCAAATTTCAATCTTCACTCTTCAATCTCAATCTTCAATGCGTAGTCTGATTCCAGTCTAAAGTTGTAATCACACTACAGGCTCCCGACTCTGACTTGACTGCCAACTCTGACTGCCGACCCGTAATGGACCAATAACAATAAATCAGTCTCATTATTATTGGTCCATTATAGGCCGGCAGTCAGAGTTGGCAGTCGAGTCAAAGTCGGGAGCCTGTAGTGTGATTACGGCTTAAGACGTAATCAGTAAGCGAATTGGCCAATCACAGTAGAGACCGTAATCATCCGGATCTACAATAGGTGTATTAAGCTTTAAGCCGTAAGAAATTAATCAATTACAGTCGAATTCTTAATGCGGGGTCTACAATAGAAGTCGTAACGGTCGTAGGGTCTTAAGTCGTAGAAAATTGATCAATCATAGTTGATTATTCTTCTCATATTCGACTGTGATTGGTCAATTTCTTACTCTTACTTCTTAAACCAAGTTTACTACGTGTATTGTAGACGGGCCTTATGCGGGGTCTACAATAGAAGTCGTAACGGTCGTAGGGTCTTAAGTCGTAGAAAATTGATCAATCATAGTTGATTATTCTTCTCATATTCGACTGTGATTGGTCAATTTCTTACTCTTACTTCTTAAACCAAGTTTACTACGTGTATTGTAGACGGGCCTTTATGGCTTAACCTCGGATCTATAATAGAGTTTTAAGCCTTAAGGCCGCAGCACAGACTCTTGCATAACGCATAACGCATAGTGCATAAGTGAATCAACTAATCAGAATCTTT